GAAGGCAATGGAGACGCTCAGCTGAAGCCCTATATTCCTCAAGGAATTAAAGGATATGATATATATATGTAGGTCGACTAACATACCTATATTTTATTATAAAAAGACTGATAGCACAGGGCATATTACTAACTCATTCAAAAGACATGATTATGACAGAACTAGTATTTCGACACATCTGCTCTGATTTATTTGAATAGCTTAGCAAAATGTTTTCTATCATCGCAGTAACTCCGTAGTAATCTTCTGTTCGAGCGGCTTGGCAAAATCAGTCTTTTCCAGACAACCTAGGCTTCGTATGGATCTTCGCTTACCTTCAAAGTAAGACACTAAACATTTGACAAAAGACATTGACGGATAAGAACAGACACCAAGACTTAATTATAATACCTGAACCATATTTAAGTATATATTTATTTAAACACCTCAGACCAACCTGAAGACGTGCGCGTGTTTACAAATTGCAGTTCGATTGGTTTATTATTATTAATAAATTTATTAAGCCCGTTGACAAAACACTCCATCGTATATAGAAATAACTTGACAAGTGAAGTATACTTCATCGACCGAGTGGCTGAATGTTCATGATTTACCTTGACTAATGTTGAATGCAAAGAAAGGATTTACCATAAGCACAAAACATGTACTGAATGTGTTGTGTAATATCACTTAACTCACTAAGTGCTTACGTCGATTGACTAAAAAGAATCAATATTTGTGTTTTTTTTTAATAAAACGACTCATTATTGGTTGACAAATTGTTGTGTTAAAGAAACATGTTGGTGACTTCGAAAATTTAATTTTCGATGAAATAGAAATAATCTTGAAGTTTTCATGTTCATTCTTTCGCTAATCAACATTGACTTTTCTTTTAAAAAAAGGATATTTACGGTTTAATTATCATATCACACTGAGACAATTGGTCAAACTAAAGTCTACACAAAGTATGTGGATCGATATTAAATCAAAATTAAGCAATCCATAATTAGTTATTAGAACATATAGTACTGTTGATAGATTTTTATACATGAATCTAAGTTACACCATTATTGATGAGCCCTAGATAATTTGAAATTAGTTTCCATGACGCTCCATAAGATTATTTTTTTACAACATGCTTACTGTTTGAGAGGATTTCTGTTAGTTTCAATCTTTTTCATGCTTGTCGCTGGAGTGGAGTCTTACATAGTCATTAACTGGGATCAGTGATCATTCATCCCTTCAGTCTGCCAGGAGTTCTTAGGTCGTAAACTGCTGAATGTGTTAAACTTGTCCATTGTACCTGTGCATTAGGCATTCGTTTGCTTCCCCCACCCCCACCCCGGTTTTATTTATTGTATTAAAAAGCTTCTTGTGTTCATTTTTAATTTTGCGCCTTCAGAGAGGGGGAAAGAGACAAACAGATGAACAGACAAGGGAAACAGCTGTTTAGTGCACCACGGTTCTCACTGATTCTCTTAGAGATGCTGGTTGCTGATGAAATGTATGCTGAAATCCTCCCTTCTGTTTTCATGCCTGCAAGAGTCGTCAGTCGGGGGCTGTTGTATTAAAGTGCGGTGTACGAGTAGGGGATAGTGATTGGGATCCCATATCCATGGGAATACTAGAGAGTCTACACTGCGTATTCGCCTTATGCAAATTCACCTGTTTTCTAGTAGTGGAAGAAGTCATGAGATGGTTCTAACTCGTATAAGACTGTAGATAATGTGTTTATCATTGGTTAAGTGACTGGTTTATTCTCATCGCAAACTGTGCACAATAACCTACCCTCTGACTCCCACAATATGAATATTGTCGACAACATCTAGATCCTCAGTATGACGGAATTCATAAACTGTGCTCTAGAAAAAATGATCTAGTATAGCCTTTTGACTTATTACAGCCTAGGAGACTTTACAGTTTCACAAAACAGTTAGTTATCTTAAGTTAATGTATGTAAAGGCCAAACATATGTTCAACTTATGATGAAGCGTATTTAGGCGTGGAAGACATTTTTCTACTGCACAAAAATACATACCTTAATATTCCAAACATTTTAAATTTACACAATTCAGTCACCTGAATGATGTCAATTAAAATGACGTCAAATATCCCTTCAGTATTAGAATTTTGTCCACTAAGGGTAAGTAATAGACATCTCTGATGCTATGCGAACGTCAGCCTGAATTCACAAATGTCATTGCAGAACATTTTGTGGCATTATAGATTCTCTAATTGAAATTTAAAACGAAGCAGGTTGTGCAATGAATTTTAGCCATAATAATAATGGTAATAAGTAAATAGATTTTCGAGTGTCGATTTTTAAGGAAGTGAATGGTTTGAGGTTTGACCACGAAGTGATGCCAGTTAGAGAACTATTGAAAACCAAAGAGTATTCCACCCATGAAGCAAAAGGCAATGGCACTATACGTATATCGCTAAATGGAAAAAGTTGGAATTTTCACACTACTGGATTCCGTACCGAAACCCTCATAGTCAGTGACTAGGCTGGTATCCTGGAGGTTGTCAGTTTAGCCCTGAATAAGAGGTTATGACTGAGTACTGCTGAAGAATCCCAAACTAGAATGAAACACTTGTTGAGCAGAGCTTGATTTTCGGTGGGGGTTCTGTTACTGATGTCAGTTCGTGATCATACTTGCTATAGTCAAATTTCTGAGGAAATGTACGTTGACGAGAGCCATGAAAATGGCATCATTACACAGACAAGGTAGTAGTCCACAGTTTAGGAAAGAAATGATAAGAGTGAATGATGACAATGATCAATGAACAAAGCATATTCTTTTCCACAGCTCCTTAATCATGTCTCACAGTTATGTGTCCATAATAATTAAAGAATTATTGTTATCAGCAACATTAGTGTTTTCTCTTAAATAATATAGAATCAGTGATATCAGTAGACTACAGTTCAAAAGCATCTGCAAGTGATACTATACTTCAATATAACACTAAACTAAATATCGAACAAATTTAGGAAAGTAACACAGAATTTATGAATTTTTAGGCTTGGTAGCAGCCCAGGGTAGCAGTAGTGGCTGGCTAGACTCGCTTCTTTTACAGTCAGAGCTTCGGTCGATTTAAGCGAATTGCAGTGACCTCTGCTGCTTGGAGTATTTGGTATCTCGAGACCTTTGGTCGATAGATGGCCTGTTTAGAAGTGGCGATTTAATATATAGAACTGTTGACGGTTTTAACAACACCTCTATTTGGCCACATTGGTAGGAGTTCCTGAGCACAACAAAATTAACTTCCTAGAGCAACGGACAATAAGACTAACTCCACTGGAGCAGTTAAACTGATAACTGTTTAGCCTGGTTACTTCATCTTTCAGTTTCGGAATCAAAACTGGTCGTCTGGAAAATATAAGCTGCAGTTTACCAATATTCATTGCTATTTGAATCGATTTTCTCAACGTGTTGGTTGTACTTTAAACTTGAATTGTAGTCATAATTATAGAGAGAGTATTCTTGTTAACAGATACAGAGGAATTCTTTTCTACTCACTTGGTCATGTGTTTAGTAACAAACTTTTCAGGGTAGACGTCTACATTTCGTGTGTCATATACAAGCTTAAGTTCATCTTCAATTGTATATTCTGATTATAGAGCTCTGACCATATATCTGTGAGTCTTTACCAAATATCTTCTATGCCGAAGAGGAAACAAAAGTTGTGAAAACGTGTATATTGACCCGTCTAATTACTTTTCTTACGGCTACTTTCCCATTCATCACTAGTGCTTAAAAGATTTTGTGCAGGAACCAATAATCACTCTCGATATCTGCTCTCATGTACCAGTGGGAGTGTGTTATTCAGGTATTAAATGTGGTCAGTAATCAAAATTAAACGACAATACTCACGCTGACGTATTATAAATTAACTGGTATGAAAATTGGATTAGCCTATGAATTCAATTTTGATTTTATCGTTGACTGATTTGACCGAAATGTAGGGCATCGATTCACATGTCGGCTTAACTTACCACTGATTCTTATTAACACACCATTCAGAAAGATGTTACTGTAATATTGAGAAAGTATGCTTTAATGATGAAATTTCCTTAAAATTGTAACCTTCTCATTTTTTTAGATTTTAGATCACTAACCAACATTAGACAGAGAGCCATTGAGAATTAATCAGTACTAGACATCTATTTCATCTTCTTTTGGGAGACAGATTGGCTGACTGACTTCCCTTAGGCTTTGACAAGCCCGCGTCATTTCTCCTCACCGATTCCACGGAGGAATAAGTATGTTTTTTTTATATTTTTGTATTTTTACTGTTTTTCTTGTGCGTTGAAGTTTCTGCAGTAGTGTGGTTGATTTTCTGGGGTAAGGTTGCTAGCCTGATTGCCAATCCTCCCTGTGTTTCCTGGTTAGAAAACTAGCGAGCTAGTAAACTAGGCGAGGTAAGGCATGATACACTATCATCACTCCTACATCAGTTTGGAAATCTGCTGCACTCCACCACAACATAAACAAAAAGATTCGGATTTTCAACACAAATGTTAAGACAGTAAGTTCTTTCATATAGGTCAGGAACTTGGAGTTTGCGTCACGAAAAGCACTTCTAACAGGCCACTGCAGACTTTTATCACTAACAGCTACCTTCGCTGGCTCCATATTGAAAGTGAAATGGACAATGAGAAAGAACTGGCAATAAAAAACTGTGGAAACAAACCAACCAGCAAGAACCCATTAGTCAACAAATCTGTTGACAGGAATGGAAGGCGCACGAACTTTGAAAGGGAGTTAATTTTACACGCTCTTGTTTATTATCGGCTTTTGTTGTGTTATACTCTCCAAAAGTCCACAGATTTAACTTTAAATCAGTTTATTCTGATCGAAGTTAGTTTACCTTCCAGATTTCAGTCTATAAAATTATAGGAAGTTGTGTTCTTATAACAAAATAGCTACATATATCTACCTTTGTGCACTCATTAGCTTTTATCACTGATTTATAAAGGTTATATATATTTGAAGTTGTATTTAATTTTTCCTGGTTTGTTTTAAATAAAATGCCTATCAAAATAAACCTCTGCGGAAGGGCTATGTGCCAGTTTCCAGTGGATGAGGGAATGCAGTGTGATAACTGCAAGAGATGGTTTCACAGTATGTGCACGAACCTTACTCTAGCAGCATACAAACGCTGCTGCAAACCTCTAGCAAACTGGTTGTGCAACGACTGCTGTAGTACAACTAAACTCCGTATTACAGAAGCCATTGCTACTCTCAGTGGGGCTTTAAAGCTCATGGACTGCAAGCGTCCTCCACCACAGAAGAATACCGACTATTGCTCAGATAACGATGACGTGACTAGCGTCATTGACAAAACAGCACATGTCCCCGATGCGACCTTGCCAATAAGTGAGTGCCCTACAGCACAGAAGAACACCCACCACATTCCAGACACCCAGGCTTCCCCCACGATACTGGATAAGCCCTCCAGTGACAGTAATGGAAAGACTGCCGTGAAGAAGAGGCGTACCAGGGGTCGAAAACCTGCAGCTCCAGTCGCCCAGGGACTGGCGGAACAAGCCTCATCCACACCGGTGAGCAGCAGACAGATAAACCCCATTACGATTAGCGAGGAGGACGCCAATGAATGGCGCAATGTAGTCTCTCGCAAAAAGCGAGATAAGGATAACACTTTGGCAACACCCCCCAAGAAGGATAGAAACATACCTACGCCTCAGAGCAAGAAAGTCACGGAAAGCAAACCCGATCTCTCTGACAGGTCTCTCATTCTCCACAAAGTGGAGGAGTCACTGGCCCTCGATCCTAAGGCCAGATTCGAGCATGACCTTAACTTGGTCAAGCCCCTTTTAGACAAGCTACTGCCACAAACAGTATCAGGCATTACTATACACAGCGTATACAGAATAGGTCAAAAGCCTGACCCTACAGTAAGTGAGCCTGTACGTCTCCTCAAAGTCGTACTAAACTCTAAAGCAGAGAGGGATGCTATTCTAAGCAACTCTCATATTCTCAAAGGATCAGGGATATATGTCCGCGCTGACTTAAGCCTAGCAGACCGTGTCAAAAGACAGGCTGCGGCACTAGAATTAAGTGAGCGACGCCGGAACGGCGAGAAGAACCTTAAGATTAAGGGTTTTCGGGTTGTCCGAGTTCGCAGTTTAATGATCCCGAAACCTCTGTGGGTGGGCCGGGGAAGCACCAATCTGAATTAACAGTCTGCTACACAAACGCCCGCAGCCTGTTAAATAAAAGGACTGAGCTGGTTAACATGATAGAACTCGGAAACCCGGATGTAATTATTATCACAGAGACATGGCTCACACCCGATGTCACTGACAACGAAGTTAACCTGCCAAACCGCAAAGGAGGTGGCGTAGTCATCTACCTCAAGAAAGGTTAACCGTGCGTAGTATCGAAGCACTCGCCCACGAAAGTGAGTCGTGCGAACTTCTACGCTGCAGACTTAAATGCATAGGCCAAGACATTGACCTCATTGCTGTGTACCGCAGTCCTGACTGCAGTGCAGACGACTTCCTAATAGAGAAGCTAGGCTCCTGGACTTCAAAATGTCGAAGTCTCGTAGTCGGCGACTTCAACGCCCCAACAGTTGACTGGTCGAGCCTAACAACTCCATCTTCAGTCAACTCCTTTGATCATAAACTGCTAGAATGCAGTATATCGCTAGCCCTAGTCCAACATATCATTAAGCCCACGCGCTATGACTCACAGCACTCCTCGACAACTCTGGACCTAGTGTTCTCCACGGTGAGGATGTGGATCTCATACAACATCTTCCTCCGTTAGGAAGAAGTGACCATGCTGTGCTCACTTTCAAGTTCACAGCAACGGCAGCAAGGGCCAAAACCCCAGCTCGACCAAACGTTTGGAAAGCTGATATAAATGCGATCGTCTCAGCAGCCAACTCAGTAAACTGGTACATCAACCCAGAGTCCCAAGTAGAAGCCGCATGGAACCAATTTAAGCAACTTTACGCCCAAGTAACTGTACCTTTCATCCCTTGGTCTGTTCCAAAGGGTCGGAAACATTCCCCCCCCTTGGATAAACCGGGAGATTCGTAAGTTACTCAGACGTAAACGCAAATGTTGGAACCTGTTTGCCACACTTGAGACTTCTGAGACCAGGGAATTATATAATACTGCTAGAAATAAAGCTATCGCAGAAATCCGCCAATCAAGGATGAAGTTCGAGACACACCTGGCTCAAAATGCAAAGGCACAACCTAAGAAAATTTTCTCGTACTTGAATTTCAGGAATAAAACATCCAATGGTGTCCCAAACCTGATTATTGACAAAGATACAATCGAAGAAGATCAAGAAAAAGCAGAAGCAATGGCAAACTACTTCTCCCAAGTCTTCACTCAGGAGTCATCACTGCCTATAGGATCAGCTCTGGCTGCATCAGAAGAACATGGGATAGATTCCGTTGACATCGACCAAGGCATCGTGCTCAACTGCTTAATGAAACTAGATGCAGGAAATCAATGGGTCCTGAAAGTCTTCATCCAAGGCTTCTCAAGGAGCTATCAGCCCACATAGCCGGCCCCTTGACCACGATCTTCAAGCTATCTCTCCTAAATGGAGTGTTGCCACGTGATTGGAAAGACGCCATAGTAACCCCATCCACAAAGGAGGATCAAGACAAAGCCCTTCAAATTACAGGCCTATCAGTCTCACCAGCACTTTAATCAAGACACTGGAAAGAATTATCAAGAAAAGCATCATGGCTTATCTGGAAAATAGCAGCTTGTTATCTGGAGCACAGCATGGCTTCCGGAGGAACCTCTCATGCCTGTCAAATCTCCTGACTGCAAGAGAAAGCTGGGTCAAATCAAAGGACAACAGAAGACCCGTTGACGTCGTCTTCATAGACTTCAGTAAAGCCTTTGATAAAGTACCTCACAAAAGACTACTCATGAAATTGGAAAGTCTTGGTATCAAAGGCAGATTACTAGACTGGCTCAGGGAATTCCTCATAGATAGGAGGCAGAGGGTTAGGATCAACTCAAAACTCTCCTCTTGGACAGCAGTAAGTAGCGGAGTGCCACAAGGCACGGTTCTCGGTCCTCTCCTTTTTATTCTGTATATCAATGAGTTACCTCTGCTCACCGACTCCCCTATGGTCCTATACGCAGATGACTTAAAAATTTGGAGAGAGCTGAAGGGCAACAGTGATACGTTCACATTGCAAGAGGACCTCAACAAATTGTCAGAGTGGTCTGTTGAATGGATGCTCCCGATCAATGTGGCAAAATGTGCAACCATGCGCATTGGACAATCAAGCACAAGCCCTACGAATTAGAGGGAATAACACTTCCATCAGTTCAGACTCACTTGGACTTAGGTGTCATAGTTAGCCACGACTTAAAAACTACAGCACACTGTCGCGCGGTGGCTGCACGTAGTTTCAGGTCCTTATGGGCGATTCGCAGAGCCTTTACAAGAATTACCAGAGATATGTTCACCTCCTTATACACATCTCTGGTTAGGTCAAGACTGGAAAACTGCATCCAGGCCGCCAGTCCTTGTCTAAAAGGGGATTCACACATTCTAGAAAGTGTTCAAAGGAAGGCAACACGTATGGTTCACGGCATAGCTAACTTATCATACGAGGAAAGACTAGATAGTTTAAATCTCTTCTCACTGTCATACCGTAGGCAGAGAGGAGATTTAATCACAATGTTTAAAATTTTAAATAATGACTACGGACCTGACCTATTCTCTCTTTTCCTTCCCACCAGGTCGGAACACCTTAGAGGACATAGCAGGAAAGTTCAAAAGCCAAGGAGAAATCATATTGCTGTTGAGTACTGGTTCTCACATCGAGTCATAAACTCTTGGAACCGACTCCCAGAAGAAGTGGTGTCTGCAACCTCAACTGATTCGTTCAAGAAGGGTTTGGACAACCACAGAAATCTACTAGAAAAGGATTAACATAGGCTGCAAGCCTTCTATCCTCAACCAATAAATCTGAAATCTGAATGGAGCTGTATAGGACAGAAGTTGAGAAGAAGGTTGAATGACTTCGCTTGGTAAGCCATCGTTTGAGTGGCACTCGAATTAGAAAGGACGACTGGGTTGCGTGACCAAGTGTGATATGGAGGAGATCGTGTGACGGGTAGGAGATGAGAGCCTATGGGCAATGACTTGGTATATCGCCCTTGAATTGTGGCCGTATATACAGTGGCTTCTTGTTTACAGATAGTGAGTTGTGTGTTTCTTGATAACTTTTTCGGGATAGCTATTTTCGATCAAAGTATCATATACAATCCTTAATTCATCTTCAATTACTTCTTCTGAGCTTATAGCTCTGCCTCTGTGGCTGAGGGTCTTCACTAAATTTCTTTTGTACTTGATAGGAACGAAGCTGTGAAAAGGTGTATACTGTCCTGTCCAAGTACTTTTCTTATGCAAATTTCTTCTTATGTTACCATCTGTATTTCTTGTAAGGAGGACATCCAGGAAGGCAATTCTCTCATGAGGTTCCCCTTCGCATGTGAACTTCATGGCCGAATGTACTTCACTGAATCCAGTAATTACTGTAGTACTACCCGAATCATAATCACAAAGGATGTAGGTGTATTCCATATACCGCCGATAAAATGAGGACATACAGATAACGTTATTTAAAGATCCGTTTTCTAGCTTACTTATAAAAAGGAAATCAGCCTAATGAAACAAAAATGAGGAGCCCATGGCCACCAGATCCAATTGCCTGTAAAGCGTGCCGTCAAGTTTGAAGTTTACAATCATGCTACATCTTAATAACAATTAAAATAAGATTTCAGTGAGAATGCCGATGTTTATCGACTGGTTATCCAATTGATCACATATGTAATTAACAGTTTCTATTATAAGCACATTTGTGAATAACAATGTTATGTTCACGGATATCATGGTTTATTCCATCATATTAATATATATATATATGCATATCAATAGTTATTGGAAGTAGTGTGTCGTCGGTGGCACAGTGGTTAGGACTCTCGCCGACCATGCACATGGTCCGGGATTCGAGCCCACGCCGACACACACCTGATATCTATGGTCGGCCTGCAAAATTTGGGTTACCGATATCCATGCTGAAAATTCCATACATTTACCAAAAATACAGTGTGGAATCAAGCTGTAATCAAAAAGAAATAGTGAATGTGGAATTCAGTCCAGAAATCAACAGACTGACATCAACAGATTGTTCACTACCATGCTGAGGTGCTCTTTATGTTCATCGTGTGAGCTTATGTTATGGAATATCCTCTGTCCTATCCACTTCACAGTCTGTATTATTTGATGATAAGAACATGTTAATCACTATTTGAAGTAAGGATACTTCACACAACTGAAACATAATACTTTTTTTAATTCTCTCTATGAAGCCGTATATCTCTTCCTTCACCCATTTCTTCTCTGCTTTAAAGGCTAAATTTTGTATTGCAACCATGTGTTCATGAAATAGTCAGTTAATCGGTCTGTCCTTCCGTCCTTTTGGATATCTTTCCTCTTGATAAACTGTGTCATTCGCTTTAATAACAGTTGTGTGTATATGTTTATGCTTGTGTATTCACTGGATGCGATGGAATATTATCACATATTATCACACATAGTCTATTTTTAGTACATTTTTGTTTATTGTTGTATACATTGTTAATCGCTTTCAGTTATGATGATCGTCATTGTCACATGACTACCGGTAATAGGATGGATGGGCAGAACAATAATTCAATCTTGTATTAGTTATTTTCTACATCAATATGAAGATGGATCACGTGTTCTTCCATATGAAAGAGAGTGTAAACAGGGATTGTTTATTTCCAAGTTTGTTTTCATTATTAGAAAGATTCACTGAATGCATTGTGAGAAGATGTACAGTGTAGTGAGTGTTTGTGTGTGTCTAAATATCTCTGTGTGTGTG